CCCCCTCTCCCCACTTACTCAAATCTTAATGAAAAAATTATGGAATAATGCGCTATTTATGCGCTACCTATATACGTAAAAAAAATTTTTGCGCTCTCATTCCGTTTATTTTCCAAATTTTTTATTCCATATTTTATTTTCCAATTTTTCGTGTACTAAATCTATTTAAAACTTTACTTTGCAATGCACTTCTTCTTTAATACATACCTGTTATTAGATATAAATCTAAACATTACCTGTAATCTCACTTTTTATTGAAAAATAATATTTGGACCAAAATATCTCTACAGGACTAAAGGAATCCGAATTTATGATACGACAAAAACGGAGTATTAAAATCTTAACCTTACATTCATAAAAATAAAGTGAATAAACTTACCTTATATAAAGAATTCTCCAAGAATTCTTGGATTAAAATGAGATTATATAATTTGCACTCAACTTTTCCTTACAAGTATCCCGTACGTAACTCGCTTTCTTTCTGAATCGTTTCGAAAAGCACAATCAGGATCTTGCGCGTTCTCGCACGGGAGAGGACAAAAGAGAACTGATAATAGACGGATTAAAAATGTTACTGTCATCTTTCATTCAATGAATAAACGAAATGTTGTATTGAATATGTCACTTATTAATATTACAGATTTTTATGTTAATACATTTACTGTAACTATTTTTAAGTGTAAATTACATTTTATTCCGAGTATTATATTAACATACAAGTACTTTAAAGGAGCATTTACCTTTTGTGTTAAATTAACACATGGTAATAATTATTTTAACTGAAGTTGGAATGGAAAATTTGTAATAAAAAATTTGTTTATTTTGTGTGTCAAAGTTTATGATTATTTTAAAACTTACTTTTAACCTTTCCTATTATAGAATATAAACTTGACTTTAAGACGTGTAGATTAATTGAAACAATTGTGTCAAAAACACTCAAAATAATATTTTATTTTTAATTGAAACAAATTTAACTTTTAGTTCACCAATGTAAGTATCTATTATTTTTTAAATTCAATATCTTCAATCGTTTCCAATTGCCGCTCGGGAAACGTAAAACCCCTGTACGCACGACCTCACTGTTTCCCGTTTTGTAAGAGCTTTTTGTCAGAGGATCCGATTCGCAAGCATTTAATTGTCAGGACGACTATTGTAACAACGGCTCCGATGAAGGACACGCTACCGAAGACCGCTAACACCGCGAACCAATTCTTAAATGTGCCGATTCTGCTGTCGCAATCGTAACTATCGGTATCGTTGAGATTGAGAGCCGACAGGTTGACTGGTCTGAGGGAGATCGATTTGTATTTGTGCTTCGCAACGATAGAATTCCGCTCTTTCCTGATGAATCGATAGGATATAGCATAAGTGAATTCCTGCCCATTGTGGGACCCCTTGGCGCTGTAGTACTGGATCAATAGTTCGTTTCCGGTAGACGTCAAAGGTATTTGGATATTGTTGATGTCCCAATGAGACGCATCACAATACGACCATATTAAAAAGCTGTTATTTACCTGCGAATTCATAGAATGTAACTGTTTCGTAGAAAAAAAGGAAAAAATACATCGACAGAAAAAATATAATTTTAATCTTTGAGTCGAGTGTGAAAAATTTTCGAATTTCTCTTTGTCATTTTTCCTTCATCAATTTTCATATATTTTCAGTAATTAAAATTTATTTAAAATTAATAATTAAAATTTATGTACTCTCTGTAAACGGAATATATCAATTTAAATGTAAAATTATATAACTTAAATTATGTGTGTTACTGTTGTCTCAAGATAATAAGGTAATTTTATTTAATTTATAAGGGAGGAAGATACGAATTATTGATTCAATCTTAATATTGTTTTTTTTTTCTTGCATATAAGGTTGAAATAAGAGAATATTGTTTATATGTCAAGAGAATATTTTTTGCTTATGCGTCAAAAGAATATTTTTTGTCTCGTTATCAGAAATCCTTTCTAAGAGGGCGAGTTCCGAGAAGCTATTATAGAAATCAATTAAAAAATATGATAGAGATTACGCTTACTTGCGCTCCGTTATAGACAGTGATTTCGTTGCTCGGACAAGAGTTTAAAGTGAAATTTCGCCTCCCCGTCTCCGGTTTCTCGTGTTCGGGCTCATTTCTGAGAATCTTTATATAGATCGAAACCTTCTCAGTGGTTCTACCGAGGAATTTGTAAGTGCACAAGGTATCCGGGGGATACCAGCTTTGCGGGGATCTAATGTTCTCCCTGTTATTCCGTGGCTGCCCGGTGCTCCTATATGCGAATTCGCATCTCGTGCGTCTCACCTCTTGTGAAACGCGTTCCTCTTGAAGGGTCACCTGGAAACCATCGTGGGTCACGGTGCCATCCTCGCGAGAGACGAACTCCAGAATCACGTTTTTCCCGCTCGAGTAGATGCGCGGGACTCGGCCGCTACCACAGAACCTCGAGATTTCCAAGATCTTCCCGTTCACATTTTCCAGAAGTGCGAGATAGTCGCCGCTGCCGCATGTATTTGCCAACGATCGATTTTCCCTGAGATATTTGGGTTCCGGTGCCTTAATAAATTATACGGGACATTATCGATTTAAGTGAACAAATATACTTGTTCAGAAATACTTTAATAGATCTAATTAAGTTTCGTCAAATGAAAACATGGATTTCGTCGTGTGTAGTTATTTAAATTTTCATATTTTAATGGACAAAATAGTGTCAGTTTTATGTCAGAAGAGTCTAGTATTTGAAAATATTAATAAAAAAATAGGATTTTAAAATTGCTGTATATATATATATTATCTTAAGGTTCTTATTCACTCACTCTTAAATTACGACGTCAGAAGCGAAAAAATAAAAATTTTGTAAATTATATTTGAATAGAAATATTTTTCAATAAAACAACATTTGCAACTGATAGAATAGACTTATAAAATATACGAAAATTATCTTTTTATTTGTATAATTAGGAAGAAATTAAATCATATTTATTTTGTTTTTGGTTATACATAATTCATTTCCATATGTACGTTTATTTATTAATTAACAAAACAAAAAAAAGAGTTTTCGGTATATTTTACAAGTCTTTATGTATATTTTTTCGTTTCTGACGTCAGTATCTGAGTCGTATCTTAGATATTAGTGGTGAATGAACAGGAGCCTTAAATAGCAATAAGAGTTTCATGATTATACATATATGTATACTTAATAATTAAAATAATATTTTAAAATAGTAATTGAAATAATCCTTTAAAATGCTAATTAAACACTTAGAGTAAGTAAAGCAATTTCGTCAACTGAAAAAATGCATATGTGTTATTTTAAGCAAAGCAATTATATTAGCAAATTAGCAAAAAGAATTCATTGATCTTCCACTAATGCGTTTTTCTTTAAGCTTAAACGAACTACATACCGTCGCTCTATTGATCGTTTCGCTCAGCCTTTCAGAATCGCTATTGAAATAATGATTCGGAACGACCCCTCGATGGTTCTTTCTCGTTATCTTCGAACGTATTGATTTTATGCGAAACTTCGGCTCATTTGTGTCAGACTTAAGCGGCAGTTCTTTGTGACGATGTTGCTCTCCCCTGTACTGCTGTATCGCCTTTTTCTTGTAATGCCTGAGCCTCGCTAATTGTCCATTCGTTTCCGTGGTGTGTTTCATCGCAGGAATCCGACTACTGTACTCGTTCCTCGACCAATCGTCCCTGATAATAGATTCATCCGCTTCGATGAAACTCTGACCCTTCGCGACCGACGATCCCTTTTCCCTGGAGTCGAAGGAGTCCTCGCAATTCTCCGTCTGGCAGCTCTCCTGATCGGTGTAGTTCATCAAATCGAAAAGGTCCTCAGGCTGACCGCCTATCCTGAAGCGATCAGCGTTCGACTCCAAGGCTATCCTACATCTGAATTCAGCAATCACATGGAAAGAATGGTTCTGCTGAAATATCTAAAAGGTAGCTAGATATAAGTTTGAAAATAATTTTGCTAACCTATCAAAATAATTATATAGTTCAATGGTCGGAATTAGTTGCTCATTTTGGGCCGATTCCCGAAGCGACACCCATTGTTTCCCAACTATCGCTCGTCGCTCGCCGATCACACGACTGGCGCTATGCGTGTGATAGTTACATGTGATAATGCAACTGTTACGTCCGGGAGGACTCACAATTTCCTCGTTTCGTGCATACTTAACAGAGTGATTGTTAAGGCAGGGCCCGAGGAGAAAAATGCGGAGAGTTAACGGTCACCGATCGGCGAGCGTGACAAAATGTAGGAAATATGTCATTGAAAGCCTTCCCAACTATTTTAGGAATGCGACAAAAAACATAGGTACCCAGGATCACCCGACCTACAATAATAAAACTTATGACAGAGTTACAAACCCTGTCGAGAAAGTTCAGTTCAGTTTTAATAAATAAAATATATCTAAATGCAGATCGGGAATCCTGAGTGAGTGGAAGGGCGCATTCCAAACATGTGACAACGCGTTGAAGAGCGTTCTTTCGTTGACGACAGGAAGCAATAAAATGGAAATGGGATGACAGGGTTAGTTTTTAATTTTTTTTTGCTGATGGTCATAAAGGTTGAAGGAAACACTGTTTAGACGAGAGAACGCATTCAATAGAAATAAGAAAAAAAAGGGGGGAAATGCGAGCTTTCAAATTGTCGTGGCCGGATCGTTCGGAGGAGGCGATGAGCAAAATACTCTCTCTCTTCGTAAAGGAAATCTAAAACTAAACTCGCCAATGGATGACCGTAGACCAGAAAACCTAGAGAAGGTGATTACGTATCACCAATAAGTTCTCAAGGGGTTGAAGCTTGGATTGCGGGCGGAGTAAATTTTGAAAATAGTTCGCCAGTAAGAATATGAAATACAAATTTCTATCAAAAACAGAAAAATCCCTCCAACCCGAATCCCCGATTTTTCCCACTTAACACTTCTCATCAGAGAACCACCCTCCAAGTCTCCCTATATAAACCGTGACACAACGAGACTTGCTCTCATTTATTTCCTCATTATTTTCTGTCCATATTCTGTGTCCGGTTCTGCTACTCAGTCAGTCAATCATATATACGATTTCATCATGTATACAAAGTTTTATACGTTAAATAGTTTCTGCTTCATAAAAATTTTAGAGTCTGTGCGCGACCTTTTAGTCGAGTGATGAACCTCACTCTTTGGGATCCGACATCTGATGCGAACATTCCTACAGCAGAAAATTGTAAAGGGTCCTCTACATAGAAGTCGTAGATGGCCGTGGAGTCTTAAGTCGTAGGAAACCAACCAATCACAAATAAGGAGAATACTCGATTGGAATTGGTCAGTTTCCTACGACTTAAGACTCCACGACCGTCTACAACTTCTACGTAGAGGACCCTTAAGTCTCATGGATTATCATTTATTTGTCCCGAAATTAAACTAATTCGCTAAAGAGTAAATAATTCACTAGTTCAAATACATAAAGTTCTTTTAAATGTCATTAAAATCAACGGAATTGACGGAACAGACAAATTCCCGTGGACTACCGAACCTATTCCCGAGAGGACTTTTACGATTGAGCCCCATTACTTTGATACACAAGAAATCCGGCGTGCAATTGCCGCTCTTCCTCCTCATTCTAGTATTCTGGTATTTATTCCGAATTCCGCCTATACATATTTAATACCGGTGGAATTCTTTTTCCTCTTCCCTCCTTCCTCCGCTACTATACGCGAAATATAAAAGAAAAACACAAAACCATATATTCTCGCTCTGAGTTTCATCCTCTAACAATTCACACACATAAAACGAACCTTTATGATCCGAGAAAATTGTAATTACCATTTTCTTCCTCATCGCGACAACAAATTTTTTATTTGTATTTTTTTTGTAACCAGCGTTAATTCATAGTGATAATCTTAGTTGTAATGATAATCTTTATAATAATCCTAATTTATAATAATAATTTTATCTATGCGTGATCTTTTTCATTTTTTTATTTGTAACCTGTTACTATTAATAATGATTAGTTTTAATAAATAATGTTAAGAAGTTTACATCTCTCTCTCATTCTCTATTTGTAAAACCCTGAGACCTCGTAGTTCGTAAGCCTTGCCTTTTCAGGGATCGCACGTGGTCCAGTCCCGGTGTTAAAAAGAATAGATTCCTTGACTTTAAATTTGGGTCAACGATCGCACCGTTCATAGGAAATAGGCATTAAAGCGTCCTTACGGGACGTTGACCCATATTCCGAAGCGAGCACAAAAGGGTGCGTTCGACTCGCGGTACTCGTCCGTGCGGATACCTGCGAGACGAGAGTCTGACCGTCCCTCCCAACTATTCTCTCCATTTCCGCATCTTTCTCTCCAATAAGACAAATTAATCTTATTTCCAAGGGCTTGGACGTAACACAACGTTTCATAATATTACGTATAAAAATACAAGCAAAGTATAATAGTGTACTTCTGAATATTATTTCCTTCTTTTTAGTATAATATTTGTGTTTAATTAAATATTTGGTATTAGAATATTTTACTCTCGAGCCGTTTATTATCTTCTTTGATATTTTTTTAGTGGAATAGACTCTTCAATGCTTAAATAACATGTTATAGTTCAAGCTGGTTGCTAAAATGTCAAAACTTTTTGCAGCATTATTCATCATGCTTAAGTTTTTTACACAACTACTTTGATGGTTCAACAAAATTATTTTTAGATTTTTATCTATCTGAATTTTTAGATACTTTAGTAAAATCGTTCTTTCCATGCAACGCGATCCATACAGCAATAGTTAGTAATTTAAAACTTTGAAATTGAGAGAATTTTATCTCTCGGCGTTTTATTCTCGGAAAACATGTTTCAAATCAAATTAGCTCGATAAGTTTCGCCAGAAAATTGAGAGAACGACTCTACCCGTTCGATATTTAACGTATAATTAGTGATAAAGCGTAAGAAAACAAAATTTGCAGCAAGCAGAGTTTGCGGGTTCGAAGAGAAGGTTTGTGTTATCTTGGTGAACTGTTCGTTCGAAACTTCGGCGAGTTTGAGCTTAATGGTCTCAAAGTCTATTATGCGCACCTAATCCCACGTGGATAAACGCTGGGATAACCCGGCGAGGTCAGTCTGCAGGACCTGTGCTTGTTGTGAACGGTGCACTCCACAGGACACGTTGGTGACGTAGACGCGGAATAGCCACGATGACGCTCGATCGCCAGGCGCATTGGCAGAATGGAGAATTGGGCGGAAAAAATGACCGGATTCGCCGAGGCGAATTGCTTGTCCGACATCAGGGTGATTGTTAGATCAGGACCGCGACGTAGAAATAGCCTATGGAATCGCAAACAAGATTTTAGATGCTTTCCAGCAAAACACATATGATACAGTGTAACACAGTAAATTCTTGTTTGCCAGGGTTAAACAAATATAATTGATACACTTAATACTTTTAATTCGCTACATACGAGACTACAATTTACTTTGGAGGTTCGTTCGGGAGGCAGATTGAGTTTTCTAGACACAACACTTATTATAGATAATAATAGAATTATTTTCGATATATATCGCAAGAAGACTTTTTCTGGTAGGTTCCTTAATTTTTACTTTAATCATCCTCTTTGTCATAAGAAAGGTACAATCATCAGTTCCATGGACAAAATTTTCTTATTATCACACCCATGGTACAACAACAAAATTTAATAGAAGCTATTCATATTTTCCTGGACAATTGTTATCCTTTATCTTTCATTTTTTCTACAATTGAACAAAGACTAAAATTCCATATCCACAATAAACATATTACACATAATTTACAAGTGAAAGATAAATATTTCACTATTCCTTACGTTAAGTTTATTTCAGAGAGCTTTCTTCCGATTTCTAGCATGTTCCATTGTAAATTAACTTTTACCATCCCTAACACTTTAAAAGGTCTTATCAGGAGGGGAAAGGATAAGTTGGAATTTTTATCCAACCAAAATGTTGTATATAAGATCTCGTGTGATGACTGTGAAGCGAGTTATGTTGGTCAGACAAAGAGAAGATTGAGTACAAGGTTACATAAACATAAATCTGACATTAGGAAGAATATAGGTTCTCCCACTGTCATAACTGATCATTGCGTCAATTTTGACCATAACTTTAGATGGAACGATGTGAGAATTTTAGATTGCGAATCTTCGTATAATAAGAGATTGGTGTCTGAAATGATTCACATCAAAAGACAAAAACAGGGTCTAAATAAAATGAATGATACAGAATCATTGCCCGAGTCTTATTCGCAAATTATACAATCTCTTTCTCCTTCTTAACTGCTTTTCTTGTTACTTCCCTTCTTCCCAATTTCTTTTCCCTCTACTTTACTTCTCCCTCTCTTATTTACTCCTTCCTTCGGCGTTTCCACTTCAACCTGCTTACCAAAGATTGTCTTACTCACATTGTCTCTGAACACACTAGAGAGATGACCATCCCACTCTCATCGCGTTGTTTGATAATTTGATATTTTTATATTATATTGGCATATGTTCTATAAGGTATATATCTAATGTTATTTTAACTATTACACAATTCATTTTGATATATTTTAGTTTGTAATTACAATAGACAATTTTATTTTATACTGACATATGATCTGTAATGTTTGTTTGTCTTTTTCATTATTTATTTTAATTGTTACAAATTGTTATTTTTTATTAATTTTCTTTGTTATTCACACATTAATTTATATTTTTTAAATAATAATTTTATATACGTTTCAATAGATACAATTTCGTTCTAATCTGCATACTATGTCCATGAAGTTTCATATTTTTACTGACTACGACCATTGTACAAGCTTCATGTTACACTGGGCGTGATTTTTTTATTATATGAATACTGCGAGTCTTATAAGTTTTGCGATTGAGAGTGAATTATAATTTTTATATTCTAACTTTTTTAAATATTTTCACCGCTTTACTTTTATATTATAACATTGATAATGATCCAACAGGGATCGAAACGTCTGTTTTTGTTTTGTTTATGTTTTATTGTTTATTGCCGGCAAATTAAAGTTTATATTATAACGAAATGACATGTTTTTATTCTGTGACTTAATAATTTCAATTTTATAACGACTAAATTTTAGGTTCGTAGCCCTTTTTTGTTCTGTTCTATTTTAAACAAATATATTAAATGGCCACTGTATCTCTTGTTGGAAAGCACCATTTTTTTAGCTAAAAACCTGGGAGTTGATGGGATTCATATGATTTACGAAAAAGAAATAGATACTTACCTCGTAGCATTTCCAGTCACACGGCCGCAATATCGACCTGTTATTTCGTCGTCAGAATCGTCGGCATTGTCTGAGAATTGAAAATATGCTCCTTCGCAACGGGCCTCTTTCAAAAAGCCTACCTGCAGTCTCCTGACTTTTACTTCGATCACCTACAATAAGTCCACATATTATTTGATTATTAATTGAACATCTATTTTTTATTAATTACTATTTAAACGCCTTTTCCTTATATCAAATCCGGCATTCTTTTTCCAATGCTTTTATGCAATTCTTTTTCTACTGCTCATTACTTTTTTATCAATAAAGATACATATATTTGCTTGGTCATTATGTTCTTTAATCTTTAGAGAGAGAGAGAGAGAAGAGAATCTATTTTCACACACACATAAATTTTACAATTTTTTCTTTGAATACGATTTGTTATATAAATCATTATTTTATTATATTCTTTGTCTAAAAATATGCCTCTGTTTCAGCGTCACTATAGTGATTTCCCGTCCTGTAAAGGTTAATGTTTGTCGTTTCGATTAAAAAAAAATTTGCAATATATTCATTACGAAAATTATAAGCAATGAATCGGATGTCTAGTATGTTATTGTCGTAGTGCAGCGTTTAAGAATTAAAGTACTCTAATTGTCTGTCTCTCTTTAACTTTTATTTGCTTATTTATCGCGTTTATCTTTTATTACCAAGTAATTCGTTAAGTATAATCAAATGCAAACAATTGTGTTAACCTGCGGATCCTTGAGTGGTGCTCTGATTCGCACGATGCAACGACCCATTCTTCCTGTCCAGCGAATCCAGCCGACTGAATTTCTGATGGTACGGTTGCATCCTATTGTAACGTAAAAAATGTATCGTCCCAACAAAAAAAATAACGCGCCACAGATACCTTGTATTTACAGCAAATCAAACGCGAGTGCGTAATGAAAAAAAAATTGTGAAAATCTCATCTGAAAAAACATGCACATTCCAAAATGCAGAATGCACCGATTAAATAGTTATATATTTCTCACTTTCCTTTGTTTTATCACATATAAAAACGCGTTCGTTTAAACTGTATGTAATAATATAGAATATCTGCAAGTAATATTTTGAACAAAATAAAATTCCGATATTACGTGTTCGGGACTACTCCAAATAATATTTCGTTCAAATAATATTACTTCCTGTTTCTTTGGCCCTTCCGCCAAGATTCCCTCGAGATTTTACAAAATTGATTTCTCCGGGCAAATTATTTCACAGGAAAGGACGAGAAACGGTTATCGAAATGCCGCCGGTATTCGCCGATGAAAACACGACCTTATTTATTTAACGACCCTCACCCTTCAACGGACTAATGAAATTACTCAGAGTTTACTGACTAATTAATTACCATAGATGTAAGCAATCTCGCTGAACTGAGGCGTCGTTTGCCAATATCGTGTTTCGTCCCGTGCACTTCTGCTTCCCGACTCGGGCTATATTTGTCACCTTAATTATATCATGCATGCACGCGTGCGTGTACACGCATGAAACGTCTGTGTTCGTGCAATGCTACTGTTCAACTGATTAATTGATACTGTTTAACAATATTCCCGTGAACATCTTTTATATAAATTATGCTAAATATTTGATTAAATTTTAGTTATTAGAAATTAATCTTAAATACAGCAAAAATTTAATTATTTTACGGTAAACGAACTTTAATAAATAAGATAAAATAGTAGCATATATTACATTTCGTTTATATAAATGTACTGAATTTTTTCATGTATTTTTATATATCCTTCTTTTCCCTTGTTCTTTATGTAACTTGAAAAATGTGCTGCACTCTTTTACTTCTTAAGAAGTATATATTTAGTATCTTTCATTGATGTTAGCAGCTAGTGCATAGTATAGAACCGCCGCAGGCCGTCCGTATCACAGACGCGTGACAATGCATACGATTAATTACAGCAAGTATCCTCGGGCGGTATGCTTTTCTGCGTAATGATTTTCTCGTTACAAGGAATATGAATAGTCATCGACTAACGACTCTTTTGACATCAAATACAGGGAAAACATGTCAGATATTTTGTAATTTTTACAAAATTGGAATATTTATTTTAAATTTAACGCGTTTTGCGTGTCCCAAACGGTCCATTTAAATTTTCGTGTTAATTTAACACAAGATAAATATGTTAGACAGCAATACAAATATTAGATAAAAATTCACATAAAAATTTAAAAATATTTAAAAATTGTGGAAACATATTTCTTCGGTGAAATTAACATTTATAATGTTAAATTTTGATACGTATATTCATGTTTTATTTATTTATCTTAGAATTTATATTTTAAAATTACATTATTTTTATTTGTTCAATTATTCATAAATTATGTTATTTTAACACTAAGAAATGTTAAAAATTAATTTAACACAAAATATTTAAATAAAATACAGTAGCATTATATAATAAATTGATACTCGGATGTGCAGTTAAAAATTCAATAAAAAGTTTTTAATGTGTATTTTTTCATTTATATATTTATATATTTCATAGATATATTTCGGGAAATTAAATGTTATAGATATATGGCATTTATTTCCCCGAAATATTTCCCGAAAAATTTCCATGTAATCGTGATTTTTATGTAAGTATTTGTTTCATTTGATGTAAGGACGAAACACGTTTAATCTCTTACTGCACTCATCAGCAATTTTAACGGTAGCATTAAATACGTTGTCCCTCGATCTAGGTGAATGTTATTCCATTACAAAGGTGATCAACGTTCTTTCTCGATAGAGTTTCACCCCTCGCACTTCATTAAGCTACGCAATTTCATTCTCGTAAAGGCTTCTCTCGAAATTGCAGTTTCTCTTCAATCGAATTATTTGCGAATTGCTCGAACAGATTTATCCCGATACAAACAATGTAGTATATAAATTATTCAAAAAGAGAGAAATATAATATCTATAAATATAATATTATAAAAAAACCATATTTACATATTTAATTCTCCGTCTGCAATTTGGATCCTTTAACACAAATGATAAAACCTTTATGTTTGATAAAAATTGAAAGAGCAAAAATGAGGAAAAAATGGAAATTTATTTAAAATGTATAACAATAAGAGAACCTCCGTCCTTTATTTTGGAGAAATTTGAGAATATTTCGTGCCAAGAAAAGGCCCAGATTTTAGACGGAAAGTTAAGAAAGTTAAAATTACCTTCAAATAACTCGATAATAACCGATAATAATGACTTGTTTGCAGCTAATTAACCAACGTACTCAATTGCGTTATCAACGAACCTCTGATCTCCACGGAAGCCCATAAAGGATCATTGAGCGACAGGATCAGCAGCGAAAGCAGAAACAAAGCAGTTTCCGATCTCATCTTCGCCGCGGTGTATTATAAGGCCATTTTACGCGCTTTCAAACATCTCTTCTCGTCGTAGAATCTTACCAAGGCAGCCAACTCGTAGAAGTCTAAGAGGTAAGATTATCTGTGAAAAAGTCACAGACTTATTTCACGACCATCTCCACGGTCATTAACTCGTTAGTTATCTCTAAATATTAGATTAGACTTCATTAGTTTAGTAACATTTAGTTTAGTCAATGGATCTAAATTTAACACTCGCGACTAAAGACACTAAAGACATTGGCTGACACCAAAGAGACTTGAGAGTTTGCAGTTTCGCGAAAAATTGATTTGATCTTTCCCCTTTTTTAATTCGCCTGCTCATTCAAGATTCTCTCGGCGTATCTTTTCTTATGGGAGGAGACGAATGGCGTAAAAATAAAAGACGGGATAAAGTTGAAGGATGGTGGATAAGCGGAAAGTATAGGAACGAGGGATATACATGTAAGCCTTGTAACTTTAGGAGACGCGACGAAAAATTTCAAAGTTGTTTGAGCCAGCTTGGGGAGAAAGAGAGAGAGAGAGAGAGACAAGCCACGGCCAGTGATCCCTCTCGAAGAAATAGCATCGGTCTTTAAGAACTTTCCAAGATCCTTCTCTCTTTTTCTCCCCAGTGAGCAGCAGCGACCAAACTGTCCGTGGAAAAAAAAACAAAGGATAATCAGGTCTTTTTATCCCGAAGACCCGGAACACCGAGAAGTTCGGAATCCACCGACTATACCTTCTTCTTCGAGCGGAAGTAATCGATTCTCGTCGAAATATATAAGTCGGAATGCGCGAATGTCGAAGGACAAGAAAGGATTGCACGATAAATGAGACGCAACAAGTTGTTGACTTTAACTTCTTTGCGATAATAAGAAAAATAAAATACGATTGTTTTTTGAAGATTATACTTCTCCTTGCGATTAAATAATCTTCTGCAATAAATTTTATTTGAATTTTTTTTTAAATTAGTAAGCTGTAGGTATTCGCGTTTAACATTGTAACCATTTACGATAAAATCTGATAATATGTTAAAATATTTCGTGATGCTAAGCAAACGTTGATAACGCTAATTACAAACAGCAAATGTAATAACTATACTGAGAAAAAAAATTTGTTCAACGAACTAAACACATTTAGTTGTTTGCAGATTTGGTTAACTCAACAACTTTTATTTAATCGAATTCAACCGTAGTTTGTTAAACAGACTACGGTTGAATTCGATTAAATAAAAGTTGTTGAGTTAACCAAATCTGCAAACAACTAAATGTGTTTAGTTCATTGAACAAATTTTTTTTCTCAATGTACGTACAAATTATTTAACATGTTTTCTTTAATATAAAATTTTTGATTGAGCGCAATTGATCATCATCTTGTACAACGATTTCGCGAAACGGTGCACACGGAACGGAGCACACGAAAAGCGCAATAGTAATTCATTTGTGGAAAATAGTTTGAAATGAAACAAACGGAGAATATTACATTTTATCAGACGCGTTCAAAGCACTTCGTGACAACAAACGGTTAGTGCTTCAATGATAAAATTCTTTAACGTGATTGGTCTTGTCCTTAGTTCCTCATTGGATCTAAATGTATTAACCAATCATATTCGAAAATTTTACAACAGTTGCGAAATTACTTTTTCTGCTGAATAATAATAGTAATCGAAGTTGTATAGGATATTTATAAATTATCATCTCATTACGATGTTTACGAGCGATCATTTTAAAGACGCTTGACATCGAATAGATTTTCTGTCGCGCTTTGAATATTCCGCATCTCAATGTAACTCGACCGTCATTCTGGATTCGCAGAAACACAAATCCGTGGATCAAGTAACATCAAGTCATAATACGTCAACTATTCATTAATAATACAGATATTTTACGAGATTTGCAAGATGTATTATGCATGTAATTAGCAGCATTTTCATGAGTGAGTGTTGTGACACGAGGATATATTAAGAGAAAACAGAGATGAGAGGAAAAGACTGGATGAGGAGCCATCGGATGGCGGAACAACCATGGAATAAGTAGTTTTTTGCTTTATATTTTATTATAATTATTTATAATTATCTCTCTCATATACAGTAAAATTATTATTGAAGGTAATAAAGTAATGACATTTAATAAACATTTTATCGCGATATGAACAATTCTTTGTAAATAGATTAGTTCAACAAATTGAAATTATAATTTGCTACATTTAGAGAAAAAGATGTAATAATTGGTAGTAAAATTATAAAGGTGACAGCTATACACAAGTTTAATATGTAGAATTAATGTACATAGTTGAATAAACTGTTTCATAATTGTAACTATTGAACAGTCTATTTAACTATGCATATTAGTTTATTCAACTATATACGGTGCTTCTACTTATTAAATTTGTGCAATTGTAAATTTTATAGTTACCGTCACTATTATACTTTTCTCTGATGTCGCTAAAATATCGTAACTGTGGAGTATCATGTCTTTATCCGCGCATTAGTTATCAATTTTTGTTTTTCTCCTCGATTAGTACATACTTACGTTTCCTGAATGCTTTGCAAACACATATATATTTTGGTCCGTAGATAGCATTAGGCAAATAAATGCACACTGTCGTGCGAGTCGGCCGAACATTGCATCGCGTTGCATGATGCACATATTTCTAATTCTCGATTTGGTCCGAATTTAGCGGCACACGCGCAAAAGCCATTTTCCACCGGAATGGCACACACGGTTCTGGTTATTTTGGGCAATTGTTAAGTGCTGTCGCAGCTACACCGAAAACACATTTACACGCTCGTGTCTCATCAAGCCGTGATTCAGCAGGCTCTTATCTCGCTGCTTTGTCCGCCCCTAATAAATGTAAGCCCGCGCGAGCTAGGCATAATCAGTCTTACCCCCGTAATTACCTAAATCTCGGTATATTTATAACGGTGTTACCCGAGACACCGTTAATTTAGTAGCTATCTCGTATATCGTCGCTACATCTCTCTTTCTTTTTTGTACGCTTTGCAACGTGATCTGTCGGCGCTCTTTAATTTCCTATGTTTTCGATAATTAAATAAGTAAGCTTTCGCTAAGCGGATCAATTTCTCTAAAAGTTAGCATTATTTGAGGGTACGGCGTCGCAATTGCATCAAGTTTTAATTGCAGATGCTCAGAGAAACCCATTAAGCAATTTAATTTCACATTAAAAGGATTAAACTTTGTTTGACGTCGAAATTATGGTCGTGATACGTTGAATGAGATTTTAAACGTGTATTATCATAAAAATATCAGAAATAATAGATATAATAAAAGCGCATTTATGAGAGCATAAAAGAGAGAGAGAGAGAGAGAGAGAGAGAGAGAGAGAGAGAGAGAGTAGTAGTAGTAGTACAAATGTAATTTATAATAATGACAATCATACATAACTGAATTATTATATAATGTATGCATTTTTAACCCTCACGTACATTTTACAATAAGTCATTATTTAAGCTTTAAGTCTGAAGCCGTGAAAAATTAATCACTCACAGCTTAATGTGAGAAGAATAATCGACTATCGGTTAATTTTTTACAGTTTAAGACTTAGGCCCAGTATGTTTGTATATAAAAGTGACGAAAATTAACACGTGACGGCCCATCATGTGTAGTAAAAGACCGTACAAACTTTAAAGCGGCATCTACAATGAGATTTTAAGGTGTAAAACTTAAGCTTTAAGCCTTAAATTGTAAAAAAAATTGACCAGTGAGCTGTTAAACTCAGCCTTAAAGCTTATAGGTAATAACTTATTGTAAAGAGTCCATGACACACAATGTTTTTTCACGGTCTTTTATTACACCTGATAGATTGTTCTGTGTTCATTTTTGTCGCTTTTATAGACATACATTTATATTGTGTTACTTTTATATATACTTCAACACTTTAGAAAGTATTTATAAAGTTGGGTATTTAAAAAAAAGGAAAGGATAGGGACCATGCTAAGCGTGTTCGTGGTATTTCAAAGAAAAGAAATGCACAAGACATAAATGACTCAATTGTGTTTACTAACTAAGCGTTAAATTTACACACATTTGTAAGTGCATATACAAACGAGTATCACGTACCTAATTTGAATCATGAAGATTTGAATCTCTTACGGTATTCTCTGTGCTTTCCTCGTCGGCGAGTGCCACGTGCCCCAGATTGGAGTATAGAACAAGAGCATCTTGCGAATCGATCGAAATCAAATCTAATCGATTACTTCACAGATCTTGCAAATAAAATAATAATTAGTAAATTTCGATGACTAGATTTAATCTAGATATTTGGTACTTGTGACATAGGAAAATAAATCGGTAGTCGTTATTGCTGGTGTCACGTGTCCCGTACCGTACCGCGCGACACCCGAATTCTCTCTGTCGCGGTGGAAAAGCTTTTTCCACGAACGCTTCCAGCGCGACACGTAACGCTTTTTATCGGGGCAGGCACACGTGTCATGCGAGATTATTGGCCTTTGTGAGGAGGCTGACGAATGGTCCACCGCATATGGCGCGTCGCGCACGACTGAGGCCAGATTTCGGTCCAGTAGAATCTCCCTCTGATCCGCGCTTCTCCCCGCGACCACCCCCGTCGCGCCGTGCTCCTGATGCATTACGCAGAATCCACGCATCCCTCGAATATTGTTAACGAGACCCTCTCGCAATAATGTGTTTTATCTCCTGTAGAACATTCGTCACGCACAATTTAGATTTTATACAAACCTTGTAAAGCTGAAAGACAACGGTTGAAGGAATGCTAAAAATTGTTTTGAACAACAACGTGATTGTTATTTATTTTATTGCAATATTACATTGTTATTTCTGACACGTATAGATTGATTCAATTTTTTTTAATTTCAGGATATAAAATTAGCTTTCGCGTAATGCGATCCGTAAATTAAATGAGATATAATTTGGCAAATCTTGCACCTGATCTCATCCTGGATTTTCCTAACGGACAGACGACAGGAAGGATATACGAATATAACCGGCAACCAAACTTGAATGAAACTTTCTAGGAGATTGCTCCCGCGGGACTCGTGACGGAGTCTAATACGCTTTAAGAATATCACAAACGGAAATCGTGAAAGGGGCAATCTCAAAAGGTGCCATTTAATTCGAGGAAAATCTCTGCACTTTCGCCAAGGAATGTAGGAAAAAATTCATGTCTGCAATTTGATAAAGTTCGCTTTAATTTGACTTTCTATTCGCGATCCACTTTTTTTTATTTCCTTTTTCAAAAATGTTAATAAATATACAGAAGTTAATAGGAAAAAAGAAATTCGAGGATTAATTTTGAAGATTGGAAAGATCAGAAAAGGTGAAAAAAAGATTGGAAGATTAAAAAATCTCATTCAAGTTTGCCATAATTTCTTGAAACGCTAAAATTGTTATTAATTTAGTTGCTAAAAATTATTATTAATTTGAGATATTACATAGCTTCAACACCGACAAATAATTGCTTGAATTAAAAATTATACAAATTCACATAAAAAATATTTAAATATTATCAAGACTCTTAATCGAATATAGTCTTGTTCACTCATGTTTTAAACTTTTCTCGTTTTATTTGCGCTTAATACTGATTACATTTAAATTGATTATTTTAATTCGGTTTTTGTAATAAAAAATATTTAAATATTATCAAGACTTTTAATCGAATATAGCCTTGTTCCCTCATGTTTTAAACTTTTCTCGTTTTATTTGCGCTTAATATTGATTACATTTAAATTGATTATTTTAATTCGGTTTTTGTTATAAAAAATATTTAAATATTATCAAGACTCTTAACTGAATATAGTCTTGTTCATTCATGCTTTAACTTTTCTCGTTTTATTTGCGCTTAATATTGATTACATTTAAATTGATTATTTTAATTCGGTTTTCGTTATTTCGTATATCTAACCAGATTCCTATCAGGGTCCGTTCTAGTTCGATCAGTACCAATCTAGTCGGATAATGAATGGCTCAAAATAAACTCGAATCAAACGAAGTCGACGGCGGCGATTCCATCGCGACTTCGAGAGGAGGCATTCTACTGGAAAAAGAACCTAAGACGTGTGAAGGGACCGTCGAACTTTTCACGAACTCGAAAACTTTGGATCTTCTCTCCCGCTGAGCCCTCTTTCCCGCCTGATCCCGCTTGCTCATCCAGCTCACGTACGCGAGGGTGGTTGTTTTGGCGATGAGGGTAGCCGGGATTCGCTCGGGTGGTGCTCTCGGCAAAATACGAGATCCGAATTATTGGGACGATCCACCGAAACCATCGCGATTTCCAAGTGCGACACGTATGAAGTCGATATATCGTCGCAAACGATATATGCCACGAGCGTCCTTCCTTTCAAACACGAGTTGTCACGAGGAGATAAAAAAAAAACAGGTTCGTTAGGAAGACGCGAGAAAGTATGGTATTGAATAGATAGATAAAACCAATTTTATTTTGTAATGATGTCCTTTGCGATAGGAAATATGATACTGATTAATTATCGAGAATTATTATAGGAAGTATTACTTTTTTTATAAACTTATCGATTATATTGCTTTTAATTTAATCTAAATATCAGGGAATTTTTATTCCATTTGATTTAACTATCATTTTTATTGAGTAAATATTTATTCACTCTAAGTAAACATTTACTTACAAAATTAGTACTATTCAGAAATATGTATTAAAATTTAATAAATTTTTTTCAGTTTAAATAGATGTTTTTGATTTATATTTCTTTTTTTTCTAAAATAATTCCCTCTATACGATACCGTTTTCCTTTTCTGTGCCGCAGAAAAAAGTTTTTCCGAACACTTGGCGTCAAGTGATCATCATTATTGGCGGGATCCCCATGTATCGAGCGGACAACAGAAGTGGCTTGTACCCGTCGCTGTAGGTACAAAGAGCACGCGAGGGATCCGCGAGACACCCCACAAAATTCCAACTGCAATAAATTATATTCGAGGCACGTGCCAGTCGTAGGGGTGAGCGTCGTGTGTGCTGTACCAAATGGCACTTTCATTGCACTTGCCCCCACGGTCTTTGCATCTTGCCGAGTTTCGTCACCCCCAATTTATAGCTCCTCTTCGTCTTTCTTATTTCTTTTTTAGGGGACAGATCCCACTTGACTGGAGACACGTATCATACATTTATTACGTATTACGTTTATTTATAGAATTTTTTCAACACGAAGATTGAAGATTATGGACAATTCGAAAGGTATTATAAAGAAAGAGAATTCGAGGCTTTTGTTTTATTTTTGAGATTTAGTTCTTTTCATGTCAACTTTCCTCGATATAAGTTGTCAGGAAGATATATTTTATTTTTATACTATATCTACCGATAACATCATTATTTTCAAAAATGATTCGCCGTACAGTGCGCGAGCAACGCGCGTGGGAAAAAAAAGGGGATGGAACCATTAAGCCACGCAAGATCCATCATTTTTCATACTTTAACGTAGCGTATACGGGTGCGTGAATAAACCAACGTGAGATTCGCTCGAGCGCGAACGTACAGCGATAAATGACACAGCCGGTGAACAAATGATAATTACGACGAAACCGTGTTTTGAAATTTTGTAATTTTCATGCGCCTAGCACATAGAAATTAAAAACAAGCCGTATAACGTAACTACTTTAATCTTTATTAAAGAAATGTATTTAATAATTCTCTAAATTTAATCCAACGTATTACTCTAGATAATTTTAATTTAAAGCATAGATTTTGTTACGTAAAATTTAGATGAAATTCACAATAATAAAATAAGAATTTAATAATAATTGGACTATCGAATTTTTATATATCTTTAAGGATTTTTCTTTTTTTTTTACGTATATTCTGAAAAAGTATATTCAATCAAAATTGAATCGAAACATAAGCTCGAAATTATAGATTATAGACAATTTAGTTCTTAAATATTATGTTTTCACTTTGCGTATAAATTTCCGCGCCCGACTCCTAGTTCTTTACTTATTTAATTTTTTACAACAAGAGTTTAATGCTTACAACGGTCGAAGCTATGGATTTTAGATATTTCGGCCAGGACTCTTGTCTTGTCTCGCACGGGGTTCTCCCTGCTTTAGGCAGTTCCTTTTGTTCAAGCCCGAGTCCGCCGTCGTCTTCTCGGCGAGCGTTCTGTTTGTCCTTTTGAGAAGCTACCTCATCCGAGGGGGTAACCACTTAATGTAATCTTGGGACAGAGTCCTCGAAATCATTATAAAATTCATATAAAATCTCTACGTATAATCCGATAATTACATATGCAACCACGAGAAATTATTGTATAATATTAAAATTAATTAAATAAAATCGTATATTTTATCAAATTACTTCATATATAGTGAAAAAAATTATTTGTAATCAGATGAAATCGTATGAAATCATGTAATCTGCGGAACAATATTTCAGCTAGTGGTTACCTCCTCGACCTCATCGGTCTCGGCATCCTCCGTTCAAATAACTTCTATGTGAATTTATATACTAAATATATAGTTATTTGAATTGCATGCTGAATAATTATATATTTAGGGAAACTCATATAGAAGCAGTATAGCTATTAGTGGTGACAGATGAACTGTGCCGAGCGGTATCCGCAGGTATACGCGTCGCCTTTCAGTCAGTTCTTTTGTAGTTGCTTGAAAAGAGCAACAGGCGGCTTTATCATTATTTTGAAGAAGAATACATTCTTTCAATGACTTGCCGAAAATTGATGAATGTTAGCTATTTACTTAAGTTTCCCTTTTTTTGTATATAAATTCACATAGAATTTATTTAAAACGTAAGATTCAGCTTCGTCATAGGCATTAAACTCTTGTTGTGTATACGGTATCACGTATATGGTCTTAATAAATCATTTGTTATTGTTTAAATGAAATTGTTGCTTTTCTTTTTATTTTTCTGCGTAACTGTAATTTTTAGATTTTTGAATACTTATATTCGCGGATTTCTCTTTAAATTTCTCAAATTTGCGACTGTCAGAATTTCCCTCTATATTTTTTTAACGATACCTTGTATTTTTATATTTTCTCGTAGTTTCCAAATTTCTACATTTTCGAATCTACTGACCCATCAATCGTTATTTGTGACGGATTTATGGACCTAGAGTTACAAACATTAATCACAAGACGGATATATGGATCTCGTCTATAATCGACTGACTTGTCGTTCAAGGTCGTGAAACATTCGTTGTTAACTTATTACCAGGTGGAAATAATGCACGAAGTTGTGGAAGCGTCGTTATTGCCAGACATCGTAGCGAAACGTTAGTTTCGTGTCTCATCGTGCGGTTGACGTTTAATTCAAAATCTTGTGTTGCCTTCCCTGGCCATGACTCGAGCTTATTCACGCCTTTAGCCACAACGCCCGCGTTGCTCATAAATCTCGGAAAACTTGCCAGTGGCTACGGGTTAACCACCCACCAATTAGCATCCTGAATTCGAGGGTGCGAGCGAAAGTTTCCGATTTCCCTATTGTCGCAACGGCGATACCAGAGTGTCTCTCAGATCTTAATCTTAATAACAGATTCTTCAACAAGGTTGAAGTCAAATTTCTTTAAAGAAAATTATTTTAAAGAAAAACTTGTTATTTTAATTTTATTATTTATTTATTTACTTTGGAATTATTTATTTATTTTAGATTTATTTATTTAATAATTGTCAATATAAATTATGTAAATCTCTCTCTCTCTCCCTCCTCGTCGAATCTTCGATATTGAGCTTCTCATAATTATTATCTAAATGTAAATCGTGAGAAGAGATTTTTAATTTTTGAAGTTTTATAGCGCGTGATTATTTATATTTTAATAATTTAAATTAAATCGAACACAGTTTAAAAACAAAATTTTTCTGGTCTTCAACAAATTTCGCATTGAATCAGAGAAACGCTACCTCTCCAAATCGTTTGAAGATGCTAACAATCGCGTCCAACAATCCATAGCGAATGTCCAGAGGGATGAGTGGCAAATGGTTGGCTACAAAACAGTGAGAGTTCCCTATGGGCTCGTCCCCGACAACGGCCGTCTGCAAAAACATTAATCACAAGTCGGTCGGTGTTTGCGCTGTCTATTTCAAAGCATGTCCTACGCACTTTGTCATCGATAGATCGTCAACAAACATTTTCGAGCTTATAGCGGTACAGTTTTTAATCGAAGCTAGATAGAAAAGAGGCAGAACGTAGTAACAACAAAATATTGAGCTTTTTTTTTAAAAACATTTGAAATAAAATGAACTACTTAATTCCAAAAGTAAAAAGAGGTTAAAATATAAAATGCAATAATTATAATATTTTTTTATCTATCTATAACATTAAATTACGTGTTCATTTATAATTAATTACATTATTCTGAATTATAACATTATAAACATTTATATACATATAAAGATATATTTATAGATATATGTATATTATTATATACTCGAACTGTTTCTAAGTGATAAAAAGATAAGATATTGTATTTATCGTAATGACCACACAAATAATAAAGCAAAAGGTGGAACTGCTTTACTAATAAGAGATCATATTAAATATCATGAAGAGGTTGGAATCGAACTAGAAGAAATGCGGATAATAACTGTGAAAGTTCTAGCAAAAAACTATGATTTTAACATCTCTTCGATCTACTGCCCTCCCAAGTACAACCTAACGAAAAACAATTATATGAATCTCCTGAAGTCACTGGGTAACAAGTTTATTATTGGCGGTGATTTTAATGCTAAAAACACTGAGCGAGTTCAAGACGGCAAAGCGGCTAGGCATGCTTACCGAGCGATTGTATACATGATTGATTGAATCTATAAGTAACAATCAATTATATTTATTTGCTTGGCGACGAGGCATTCATTTCCATGAATGGGCTCGTTTTATCAACTAGGAACACAGCATGAAAGGAAAAGAACTTTAAGAAGCGGCTTTGGAGGTCACTTTCTCTCTACAATCAAACCGATCTATTGACCAACGGATACAAAGAAGCCTGACCGGTGTTACCAAATCTGAGGTGAATTGCACACGCACACAAAAGCGATGTATGTGTGTCTAACGAAAAACTCGCTTTTGTATGCGTGGTGTTGCACGGCTCAGAATCTCTATTCTTGAAAAAATATCGCATACGAAAAATTATGGGAAATACTATAGTATGCGTTACATATAGCACTTCCCTAGTGTTTCGTATGCTTTTCAACAGAGCCCCAGATCTGGTAACACTACCTGATCTCAACGATTTCTTTGTGTTAAAAAAAATGCCGAATAAAAGACATTCATGTAGAAAGCGAATACCATGACCTTCTCGGATCATTCCTCGGTCCTTAAACATGATTGACAGGCTCCGAGCACTGGGGGGTCGAAGGTCTGTGCGCTGATGGAGATTTTATATTTCGACTGGCCGGCCGATTATTTCATTAAAAGAAAAAAAAAGAGGAAAAACAAGGCGCAGGATTTAATTCATGTTTTGCGACCACTGTTACAGATTTTCTTTTTGTTATTAATATTTGACCAACATAAAGTGTCAACACAATCACAGAGACCTTTTTATTACTATTACACGATTACATATAGTGCGAACACAATTATAAACTTTCATATTATTCGTAAAAATAATATAAACTGCAAACGTAATCATAGACTTTCTTATTACTTTCCATGTAATTTAAATATTGCACCATACAGCGTGCGCGTTATACAAAACACAAAAAAACAATACGCTACAACATCTTTAACACGACATAATATTTACGAAAACCAGCATCTTTCATACTTCTGTTTCATAGTAGCTTTTCTATCTCTTCTTTGAATTTTCTTTTCTACATTACGGGCTTAGTAATAATAATAAAAATATTTTAAAATAAACATTCTGAACGAAAAACCATAATAATTATATACGATAACATCGTGGACATCACTAAATAGATAATTAATAAATACTACACGCGAGCGAAAAACTGGAAATTTTTCTCGTCTGCTGGAGAACCGGAAATTAGTCTCGAAAACTGGAGTCTCCAATCGAAATCTGGAGACTTGACAACCGTGGTCCTAATCCTAACAATAAGCGAGAATCTAATCCCCCCTGAAGGAAGATCTAAATTAACTAATAAAAAGACTAATTGGGGGAAGAATTTAGGAGATATCTGGATAACTGCACCAACTTAAATGTTCCGATTCGAACTCCCCATCAATTAGAAGAGGAAATTGATATATTTATCGAAAATATACAACAAACTGCATGGAACAATATGTTCCCCCACTATCAATTAGGGAAAAAACATATAATAAAAACAATATTATTTACCAGATATAAATACACAACTTAGTACATGAGAAAAGGAAGGCACGTAAAAAACGGCAACAAACCCGAATAACTCAAATATACATATATTATATAATGATTTTATATTATATATAATATTTAAGTATTGTACAACATAAATTTATATATAAAGTTTACATATATAACGTTATATATTATGATGTATTTATTATAAATATAACAAAAATGTTGCAATTTTTAATTTCAAGTAAAATAATATACACATTTTCTGTTTTTATTTTCGAAATAGTTATTTTTATACATTTATTCAGCATTATTGTATGTTTATAAAATGATAAATGCTTTTCTCGAAAGTGCTTCTTGATTCGTATGTCTATATATAAAGAACCGATAATATGTATTCAGTCGGTTTAGTAGGAAATGACGATAACCGAACAGCAAGATTCATGATGATTGTTACCATGTTTATCATGGGGACGTAATTCTGATCCTATTTTTGTTACCATAAATAAATATAATTAAACAATTATACATTTTAATGAACATGTTATATAAAATGTCCGTGTAAAGAATTTAGAAATTTTAGAATTTAACGTTTGATGGTACAGAAAAATTGATATTTTTTCCCCTTCTTATTTTTTTTTAACGAATATAAATACCGAAGGACAGAACACAGAGGAACACGAAAATTCTGTTAACAAGTAAAGTTCTAGAAAGTTTCTTCCATCCTTAATAATTTAAAATTAAATTATAAAGACTGTAAAACTGTTCAGTGAATAATCGTAATTCCTATCACATACGAGTAAAGGTACGTTAAGTAATCGTTGTCACTATTTGTAATATCATGATTGTATAAAAATCTTTATAATTATGTAACTGTAAATTCTTATTAGAACTTGGAAACTCTTTACGACACGAGAATTTGCAATTTATAACGGACCAATATTAACAGTCACACAAATATCAACCATTTTACAAGAACTTTACGATCTCACATATTCAACTTTTTATATTAAGTGACCATCGTACATTAGAATAGACTGATTGTTATTCTCTTATAATATTTAAATTGAATTTTTAATTTATTTAATTTCCAACTTTAAAAAATTGTATTTTAGAACATACTGAGGAAGGCCGGATATCGGCCGAAACGTACATGAATTTAAATTTGTAAGGATTATTTTAAATATATTTTTTTTTTTACATCGCAACAAATAACCGGCGTATTGGCTGTATGCTCCTTTTTTAACTTTTGTTTATTAATAATTTATTCAATCACAGCATATGTAACATCACAACAAATGTTTAATTATATAAATGTAGTAGTTATATAAATATGTAACATCATAATTAAAATTTAATTATATAAAATATATAATCACATTGTATCCATACATTAAAAACTTTGCCACTCATACAACTATTTACAAATTTTTAGCGTTTTCGATCGTAGCAGGTTTGAATCCAGCTGGATTGGATTAATATCGTGTCATATGTTCTACCAGAGAATAAATCGCTGAAATCATTGAAATCTTTATTAATTTAATACATTTTCGTTATTTTAGCGATTTCAACTATCTATTTCCATCAAGAGCACCGCAAAAAGGTAGATATTGTTGTTGTTAACACCCACTTCGTCAGAGGTCAATAGCGCGCAGCAGCATTTTACGGTTACAGATTTTGAACTGTTCTCTCTCAGATTTCTTTCTAGTTCTGCTAATGATTAATGGTACATGTTCTAACAATAGCACAGCATGCAACACTATTAATTCAACCCAGATCCGTTCAAACCTGTTACGGTCGAAAACGCTATTTATAATACTTATTGATCCGTACCGCTATCTGTAATCACTTTATTTCTTACCAAAGTCTGCAAGTGTAATATTAATTTGTTTTTCTAGTCTCTTGACTTTTTGTCGCAAAGTTTTCAGAATCACCTTTTGTCGCTTGATGTTCTTGATTACTACTTCCCAGTAAATTTTAGCTTGCATTGATGACGTAGATATCTCTTCCCATCGGACATCATATAGATACTTCTTATATTTTTTCTCTGGCTCATTCAAGTCTGCTGGAGCGAACAATATTCTACAAAAATTAATTATTTTAATATTTTTCATTGTTTTTAAACATAATATTAACTTTCTACTAGCAATATTCATATTAACTCTTCTGTCAGCAATAATAGTCTAGTATTTCTTACCTTTTAGACAGTTTGTCTCTTTTAGCTCCTATACACAATTCTACAGTATCTAAAGCTTTATTCTCAGGGACATTACATTCAATCATAGTGTTTGTTAGCTGATTTTCCTTAATGATTATGTTTTGATTATCTGAGACTGAGTCATCCCTGCTTGCCTCGTTCAAACAAAGGGGTGGTACTACATCTGGCTTTAAATAATGTTTGCCGACTATACTATATCTAAAGTAACTTTTCTTGAAGTGGCTTGAACATATTTGCGACGCTCTGGTAATTTTCTCCTCTGTATAAAGTATGAGCAACCATCTTTTCAATAATTGGTCAGATTTTGGACCGTCTCCTCTCAGGTTTCTTTCTAGTTCTATTATTGATTAATGGTACATGTTCTAACAATAGCATCACATGCAACACTAATTCAACCCAGATTCATTCAAACCTGTTACGTCGAAAATGCTATTTGTAATACCTTAAATAAATCAAATCCTTTTGAATCAAATAACGTATCAATATGATATTTATAATAAACATACACAGTAATACTCACTTGAAAAACGATATATCTGACTGGTCTGGCAGTGACGCTTTGCTTATATGTACATGCAGCAGATGGATATACGTGTCATTAAACGCCAAAAAATATTACCTGGCGATAAAATTACGAAGAAAAAAGATTGCAAATATTTCCATCATGCCGAATGTAGCGTTCAATTCGAAATGAACTAATAAACCCTAAATGTAAAAAATATGAACAAAACATTATTCATCACACAACGCTGGCAAAGATATTTTGATATACATCTCTTACTCAAATCATTGAAATTATCAACTCACATGCATAAAAGTCAAAGTTTATATCAGTTGTCTCTGTTTATAATTTAGTGAAATAACAGATTAAGGCACAGACTAACTCCAAACAGTTCAAAATCTAAACAGGCCCAGGTACTTCAAGCAGGTCCAAGCTGAATAAGTACTCTGAATCCAAACAAATCAAAATAACAGATTTCGTGCATTACAACAATACTGATTCCTGCTAGTAGTTCTTGCATAGTGCAAATTTTTGTGAGTGCAAACAGAACACGTCAATCTTCCTCTTCTTCTATATTTGAATGACCCAGGTTCCAATGCAAGGACACGGCAAAGCTAGACTTCTTCCTTTATTTAGCCATCGACGAGATGCTATTAAAGACCATCAATTCTGGGTAAATTTTCGGCGGTATAAAAAGATAGATTTCGGCAGCCAAGAACAGACCCATTTTCCCGAGCTTCTCAAACTGGCCGTTTCAGCAGATTCACCAGATGTTGACCAATGGGCGCATTCAGCAGACTCAATAGTTGAAAGAGCGCTCGCTGTTATTGGTGTATTCTTTTAGCTCATTCAATCAGAATTTTAGATTTAGAAGATTACCAATAACAGTGAGCGCTCACTCAACTGTTGAGTCCGCTGAATGCGCCCAATGAAATTATAAATATTTTGGATGGCACCCAGTTGGACACGGCTCAATTGGACACGAGCCACTCACAGCGCTTGAGACTACAAAGCTCCTAAGCACCGGTCGCTGTGATTGATGGTGTCCAATCGAGCCGTGGTCAATCGGGATCACCCCAATATTTTAGTAAATTCGCTTACATTTTCATCTCATTTCATCTCATTTCAAAATACACAATCGATCTCCAAGACTGCGTTGTAAATAGCGGACCAATTAAAAGTGGCTGTTTCGTGGCTTGACTTGGGCTTGACTCTGAATACTCTGATTAAGGCTGCGTTCGGAAATATCACTCGAGTGTGCCCCCGCGTGTCGTATTATCTTTGTGTTCACCCAGTGTTAAACAAGGATAAGATGATACACGGAGACACCCGGGTGATATTTTCGAACGCAGCCTAGAGGGTCTTTACTCCCGTCTCCCGTCTTGTATACGCTCGTGTGACGTATGTAAACACGGGTCCTCCTGTCATCGTATATAAATTGTGAATCTCGCCGTTCCCATTCATCCCGTTTGCCAATGTTTTAAAATGGCGGACGCGAACGAGAAGTTGTTAGCGGAACTTCTGAAAAAGTCTGGGAACAACGTATGCGCGGATTGCGGGGCCAAGAGTAAGTGTGTTTCTTCAAAGATCTCGTTTACCTTAAACCGTCACTAGCGAACGAGACTCGTTCGGCCGCCACGTACGTCTTAACCTCTTGATGTTCGTAAGGCGTTTAGACATTTATTTTTACAGCGACATTAAATTTTACGATAATATAACGTAAAGTCGCTCGAGATTGGTCACTACTCGTGATACCTGATATTTAACATTGTGCTGTGTCACGAACTCCAACGACCATCGGATTTGATAGTATCAATAGTATCGCGCGCGTTAACGGTAGTAGTGTAAAATTTCCCTCCCACTCCTCCCAAATTCATTGAAGTTTCATTTACTAGGGATACGATATCTTTCATTCATTTCGCTGCATGTTAACCGTAGTGTCATTTTATATTTTAGATCCAGAATGGGCATCTTACAATATAGGTATATTTGTTTGCACAAGGTGTGCTGGTGTGCACAGATCTATGGGAGCACATATTTCGAAAGTAAAGCACTTAAAATTAGATAGATGGGAAGATTCTCAAGTGAGTAGGATACGCGAAGTAGGTAATAACAAAGCAAGCATGCGCTACGAAGAACGTGTGCCCTCGTGCTACCGCAGACCAAATCCAGATACTCCACAGTGAGTTATTGAACGTTTGTGTGGTTTTCCTGTTTTAGTCATCACCTTATGACACATTATTCATGACACAGTTATCAGTAGACTGTGGAACTTTATGCAAAATACTTAACTGAATGTTTTGCATAAAATGCATATTTTGCAATTTTGTAAATTTACAGATGGCAATCTCAATCTTTTTACTTCACCTTTTAATAACTCTTTAACGAACAACGATTGACTGCTAAAACTTTCCGATAGTTAATATTCAGTTAAGTATTTTGCATAAAGTTTCACAGTCTAATCAGCTACCTTTACACAGATTATCTTTTAAATAGTATTTCTGTTGGATATTATACAAAGCACTTGAATTGTCAGAAACTAATTTACAAATCCAAATACTCCACAATAAGTTATCAAGCGTTTGTGTGGTTTTCCTGTTTTAGTTATCACTTTATGACACATTTATTCATGATACAATTAGCAGTTATATATAGATTATATTTTGAATAGTATTTTTATTGGATATTATTTATAAAGTACTTGAATAATCAGAAACTGATTTACAAAATTTATTAGAGTTTTAGTCGAACAGTGGATAAGAGCAAAATACGAGAGGGAGGAATTTTGTCATCCTGAAAGACAAAATCATTATGTATCAGGATTTATGGAAGGGTTTTTAATGAAACGTGGAAAGGAAGATTCACGTTATCATCCTCGTAAGTTTGTACTTCGTGAAGCGGAGGATACACTCAAGTATCATGTTAAAGAAAATAAGGTAATTTAAATAAGATGCAATGTAAGTCTAGGAAGGCAAATATTTAATATTGCACTTATTTTAAGGAACCGAAAGCAGTTTTAAGGATATCAGAATTAAATGTTGCATTTGCACCACCTAAAATTGGCAATCAGAATAGTCTTCAACTGTCCTTTATGAAAGATGGCACGACAAGACATATCTATGTGTACCACGAGGATCCGGAAGTAATCACGAATTGGTACCTTGCCATCAGGTGTGCGAAACTGCACCGCTTACAAGTAGCGTATCCAGGTGCAAATGAGAATGAGTTACTGTCGCAACTTACGAGGGATTTCCCGCGCGAAGGTTTTCTATGGAAAACTGGCCCAAGACATACAGACGCTTATAAAAAAAGATGGTTTACCTTAGATGGTAGAAAACTCATGTATCATGACGATCCTATGGTACGACCTAATTTTTACTTAACGCTTGTGTTATTTAACAGACTATATTATTATCTTCTTCTATCTTTTAAGGACGCGCATCCGAAAGGTGAAATTTTTCTGGGTCATAGTTCCGAAGGCTTCGCGGTAAAAACGGGCGTACCACAGGGTGCTAGAGATCAAGGGTTTTCGTTTACCCTTGAAACACCTGATAGGACTTACTTGCTCTCTGCGCAAAGCGATGACGACAGATCGCAATGGATTAGCGTAATCCAAAAAGTAATAGATAAACCACTAACGCCACAGGACGCGACCGGTAAGCCGGTAACCGAAACGTACGTCAGATTTAATTCGAGAAAATGTGTATGTACACGTTGGTTTTCATTTACAGTAGCGGCGAGACTCGTAAGAAAGCGCACAACAAGCGGAACAATGAATATATTTTCGTCCACGAGATAGGGCTGGATTCCTCTTAGACGTCTTTCTTAATTATATGCCGGTAATCGAATCGTATCGGGATAAATAAATATATGACTCAGCACATATGCGAAACGGCACGTATAGCTTCGAATTATTTACTCATCTTGTTACTGTTGAGTCATGTATTTATCTTGCGCACGGTAGTTGCATAGAGACATACGTATAAGACTGCTCGAAGATGTTGATCAACGTGGATAAACTGCAAGCACCAACCACTTCTCTGTAACATTCTTGCGTTGAAAATAAAGCTTGTGTCGCTTACCATCGAAACGCGTAGGCAGGCAGTATCGTAACAATATTACAAGGAATTTTTACTTAGCAATAATATTGTGTGTGATACTTGTCTCTGACAGTGTAATGTTCGGAGCACTGAAAAAAATTCTCTTCCAGAAGTTTGATCTAATCTATTACAGAACTATCTGCTGAACAGCAAATCTAGCTTAGGATAGACATTATTTTAAAAATCACTGATTCGCAGTATTTTCTTTCCTCCTTTTTTTATTAACTTAGTATCAACTGGTTTATTTAGATTATCATTATAATTTAGGCCACAAGTGATAATGATACACAATCTGTACATAAAAAATAAATTATGAGGGCCTATTATTCTTCATTTTCATTCTTTAAAAGTATAAAGAATAACTCTTTCCTATGCTATTCCTATAAATAAACCTATATTCGGAAATAAATAAATAATGAATTGTCTATACGTGCGCTGATTATGCATTAAATATTGTGACATTTCTTGGAATGTTTTATTGACAGTAAAAACAATGATAATTGACATAGATTATAGAGTAAAAAAGGGGACATTGTTCGTTAATGAATATCTTAATAATAATTGATCATTCAGGTACATGCATGGGTATGTATTTGTGTGAAAGATTTCAGTACTTTATTTTCTGCTTGTGTTCAGAAACAGGTAAATTTTTTAAATAACATAGAATATTGACCCAACAGAAAGCAGCAATACTGACATATGTCACTCGAAAAGATGGCGGAATTAATAAAAAGTTCACAAATTGCACTGGCAACCAATATCCGCATGAAGTCTGGAAAACAAAAATATATGTAATTCCCGTACTGTAGAATTTTCGTGTAAATTGGAAAACGAACCTGGAAAGTGTGTACGAATTTAATTTTGCATTCTTGAAGGAGATCTGATTTAGCTTCCATTAAACTCATACCTGTAAGATTTATAAATCAAACTTGTTATTCTATCGCGAACAAATTAAACAATCTTTACATAAAGCGCTCAAAGATACGAACTGATAAAGAACAAGATAATTAATGGCGGTGTTAAGATAAATTGGTCTACAAAAAGTTTCTTTAATACGATCTTGGTGGATTTTCCACTATAAAACGTATCCAGCCATTTGTACCTGTCGTTAATATTTAAGAATTAATTTGTAAATTCATTACGAAAATTGTATAAGCACTTTACATCACTTAATGAACATTGTCGAAATACCATCCATGTAGTATTGGTCCAGCTAAGAGGCAACCAAAGATCGCGTATCTTTTCAATTGCGGCCAGTTGTAAGTTGCAGAATTAGAATTTTTATCTACGAGATCCAACATCTCGCAAAGTTTTTGTATTTGGATTAATACCGGTCCTTTGATGTTAGAAGAATTTTCAGGGTCTACGGTAATAAGCTGTATCGGCTACAAGAGCACAATCCACTCGTTAGCATGAATGATATAGAAGAATTTGTCGTATTCGATACAAAAGAATCCGAATCGGAAATTGCACCTTTGACATCTTAGTAAAACTCTGTCGGATAAACTCGGCGCTCGTATAGAAGAAACCATACACCATTGAATTAAACAACAAGGGTCTTTTCTGCATAATACTGCTTACAACTCGAAGAGCCCTCGTCGATGACATATTTTGTCTTCCTCTGCTACAGTCACGACTCTTATGTCTTATCACTTGTTTCAAGATATTCGCGTTTCAAGATGCGTTATCAAATAAGCAAGATATTACTGTTACAGTTTTACTAGCGCCGAATAAGGAATTAAATGGATACTGACGCTGATACTGACTGAGTGCAACAGCACTACCCATTTAGACTCAATTACGTTCAATCATGACTCAACTATATCAATTGTATCGCATCAACATGTGCTCTCTTTCTCGCTTATCTCTCAAATCCTTGTTGTAAGTGAACGTATGCGTTGAATCCTTATATTTAAAAAATTTCTATACATTTTTTTATATAGTATAAAGTCGTACAATTACAAATATATAAATTATATTAAATTTGCTTTAATAACTACAATAGTTAATTAGGTATAATAGATTGTAATTCAGAATGCAACCAACTTGTCCAATCAGAAGATGTTTCCTTCTCTAGGGTAACTTCTCGAAAAACTTCACTTCTTTCCTCCTAAATTATAATTTTATCATTAGGTATTTAATTACAGTTTCTGTTAAAAATGGCTAATATTCTACATATGCCTATAAAATGATTTATAGTCTAATTTTAAGTTTAAACAAATAGATAACTACATCGAATAATTAAGATTTCGAAGAAATTTTAGACAATGGTTTAATGCTAAACGTGCGATAGAAAAATCATGTCTCTTAACCCACCTCTCGGAAACCAAGTTTCTCAAACATTCTTATGCTCACTGCATTGTCTAATTTGATTTTGGCGCAGAATTTGTTAATGTTTAGCGTCTCAGCGCCTGTTACAAAAGTAGATACAAATTATAAGAATGTTAAACCCAATAATTATTATCACGGCCGAATTACCATAGAGTAACATTAATATAATAGATTCCCAGCCTCTTCTTTTGCCTCGATTAGCTTCCTCAGCTATCATAATTTCTATTTCAGCGACGCACAGTCCCTGTGAGTCGTGCAGAAATAAATTTGTATCTCCCACCATAGCATCTGAAATGAATCAGTCGAAAAAAGAAGTTAGATATTACAAGTGTGAGTACATACAGGGTTCTTACAACAGTGACAATAGGCGCTTTCCATTTAATAACACAAGTTGATACAAACATCATTCCATTTTTCTCGATATTCAGAGAATAATAAAGATAGAATGACACTTGTGTTGACTTGTGTCACTGAATGCAAAGCAATCAATAGTGACTATTATTATAGAAATTCTAGGGATGCGTTCATGCAATTCCCATATAAATGCTCCTTCATTTTATCCTTGTTCACCAAATATTAAATAATAGATAAAATGATATCTGGAATATTCGAGATACAAACTACAATAGACCGTACAAAATAGAGTGTGCTCCGAAATTTAAGAATGTATAGTGAACGTGTCATAAACTAAAACTTTCAACACTGAAAAAATTTAATACACAACTATTATTTATGTATGTACCTATTTCATTTTTGGTTGTCAGGTAGACATGTTTGTCCAATATGATAAAAGTGCATTCTGTAACATAAAACCACAGTTAAAATCACATTTAGTATAGAAATTATATTTTGTGAAAGTAGAAGCAAACATTTCATTACTGGCTAGTATCGAGTAGGAAAAATAAAGCAATACAAAAAGAGAGAGAGAAGATACATAGAAATCATTTAATACAACATTCCAACACAAGTAATTATTGTGATAGATGAATCAATAAGTAATCTCATTTTGCCTTGAAAAATCAGAATAGTGTATAAAGTATATTAAAGTTATTTATTGATTCATCTATTTATATGAAGAATTACGATAAAAACTGATAAAGCATTTACGTCTAAAGGATTTTGCTAGCTTAGATAATTACTATCCTCGTCCTCCAACCAACGTTTCTGCATCTTGAATTCCTCCTCCAGCGTCAACGGCTCGGAACTCGTCAAGTACTGCAGAATAGGATTTTTCATCCATTCATGATATCTGAACATAATTTTCGAGATAGCATATCAGTTGTATTTTGATCATTCAGTTAATAAAACATTAAATATAAAAAGATAGTTTATATACAAACTTTATAACATGCTTTTCTTGATACGGTACCAAAATGATATTTGTTCCATTGATATGAGTATTCATATTTTTTCTCATAATTATTGGCAACAATTAAATAATTTAATTAAAATTTAGTAATTATTCAGACTACTCCTCGCACTTTAAAAATCAATGAAATTAAGTTTGTTTGGCGCGTGTTTGCATAAAACGGAAGAATCTGGCAGAAAAAAACGTCACACTGTAAACCGAGATATTAATTGTTTAAAGTTCACTGTAAACTTTAAACGATAGTCGTGAACTGTTCAGGTTATAGGAAATCTGTCGCAACCACATAAAAGGTCCTCTAAAGTCGTAGATGGTCGTGGAGTCTTAAGTCGTAGGAAACCAACCAATCACAATCAAATATAAGGAGAATACTCGATTGGAATTGGTCAGTTTCCTACGACTTAAGACTCCACGACCATCTACGACTTCTATTGTAGACCCCGCTTTATATTTGAGATAGTCTTAAGATGTCATAAGCCAATCAGTGGTCGGTATTCATAGTCAGATTTTATATTCAAGGCCGTCTTAAGTACGGTCTTAAGAAGTCATGAACCAATCAGAGGGCTACATTAGCGTTTTAAGGCATTACTTAAGACGGTCTTGAAATAAGAACCGACTATGAATGCCGGCTTTAAAATGCTAATATGGCTCTCTGATTGGTTCATGCACTAGCTTAAGGCCATCTCGAATCTTGAGTAATGTCTACAGATTCCGCTCTAATGCTGGATTCACACTGCATCCGATGTGCGTCGTACGACGCTCTGCAACCAATTAGAAAACAGGATTCCGATGATACGAAGCAAAAGCCATCACACGCAGTGTGAATCCAGCATATGGCGAGCAAAAAAACAAGCATCGCAGGTTTAAGCAAGACGAACAGACTTATGATTTCTGATAGATTGAAATCTGTTATTTCCTATTCCTATTGCCTGTGCTTTTCATTGTGTTTCCGGCTTTAGATATGCGCTGCGTTCAACGGACTCAACAGTTGAGTGATCGCTTGTTATTATTGGTGTATTCTTTTAGATTATCCAATCAGCATTTTAGATCTGGAAGAATACATCAATAGCAGCGAGCGCACAACTTGTGTCAGCTGAATGCGGGCATATATGTTGTATAGTATAGTTTATGTCACATACGCTATAGGGTTTTTTTACTGTCACTATTCGATGCGTTTTGGTACGCCATTCGTGTGCTGTCAGCGGAACTACAACTGAGCTAAACGCTTGCGCTGTTATAGCTGTCATAGCGGCAAAGAGAATAACGTGCTGACAAGAGACAAGGTATAGCCACTGGGACGGCAACATCGGGGACGGAATTAACAAGAGAAGAAGACTGAACGAATATCTCACGCGCCAGTAAGTGTTGTCTTGTATTTCTTTAGCTGTACGCCACGAGGTCCACGCTGCCGCGTCGCTTTGCGAAAACTCGCGCGCGTGTGCTTGGCGCCACGCGCTATCACGCGCGGGCTTGACAAGGCCTTTCGTCGTCCCACGAGACACGTGCATTGGAGTATTTACGCATTTAACGCGTATCCTGAATCCTGGAAAATAGAAACGCTCCCCCCCCCCCTTCGTTTTGAATCGAAACGATGTGACAACGACGATGCAGCAGCCACGTTTTCGACATTCTGTGTATTTTGACTTTGACCACCGGTATCTGACAGTTGTGATGTACGTGTAATACGGCTGTAAACATCGACCGACCGTACGACTTCACTCCAATTCGCAGCCGCGAGATGCGTCGTCACCGTGCCGGTGAGTGAACGATTTTCCCTCGCTCGGCGAGCGGCTGTTTTATAACGCGCTTCATTAATGTAACATGCTGTGCGCCCGCGCGTTCTTGCTCAACGTGCGGGCGGTATGTGCTCCTGGATATATATATGTCTCACGAACAATCTCTGTCACGATTTGAAAATGTGTTGGTATTTATATTTTCTAGATAAAATTAATGTGAAAACTATATACATATGAAACAGTTGTGTAACGTCTTTTTATTCAATAGTACCGTTTTGTAGTTTATTTACTATATATTTGTCATTATTTTTTATTGTTATAACATTTTATCTTAAAAAATGATAACAATAATCTCAATTTTTTTGGAGTAATTCTTTAAGTATTCAAGATGATTTATGCAAAGTTTTATTGCAATTCACTGATTAGTCTATAAATAAACAAATATGAAAAAATTTACTTATTTGTTTATTTACAGAGTAAGTAATCAGTGGATTGCAATGTAATTTTGTATAAATTATTTCAAATGCTTAAAGAATTTTTCCTAAAAAATTGAAATAGTTATTATTTTTTAAGTTGAAATGTTATAGGAATAAAAGATAATAAATACAATGAATAAACCACAAAAAGTATTGTTGAATAAAAATATGATGTTACACAACTGTTTTATGTATATATAATCGCATTTTTTTTTTTTTAAGTAAATATTAACACATTTTTAACTTTTAAAAGAGATGTATGTCCTTTAACGGCAGTTATCATGCAAATTTCTCCATATTATAGGACGTTAAAACACACGTGATGAGACGTGGCGATACAGAAAATTTGGGTGCGCAGAGTTCAGCTTTTGTGCTGGAAGCATTAAGCCCATTTTATATCGCACAAGGTGAGACCTTTTAACCAGACCAGACATAAGACGCAGAACGCAGGTCACAGGTCACAAGTGAAATGTATTTCAGATTATAATAGATCGCAGACCGCAAGGTGCGCAGGATGCGAAAGTAAAGGTATATCCACACAAACTTGCATAGCCGCATAAACGTATGCATAAAGAAAATTATCCAATCATATTTTATGTACGACTTTAAAAGAGAACTGCAATTGGATAATTTTCTTTATGTATATGTTTATGCGGCTATGCAAGTTGTGTGGATATACCTTTACTTTCGCGTCCTGTGCACCTTGCGGTCTGCGATCTATTATAATCTGAAATACACGTTTCACTTGTGACCTGTGACCTGCGTTCTGCGTCTTATGTAGATCGGGCTAAAAGGTCTCACCTTGTGCGAAATAGTTGTTCGATGGATAGGATGGTAATCTGGTGTCAGGAGATGTGAGGAGCAATAAAGAAAAGTGCGCGTGAGAAAATCTGCGTGATTTATTCACCACTAAGACTGATCGTACACGTATGCGAATAGGCGACAAGAAAAGCGCGTGGAACGTTGCTAACAAGTATTATGGCGAGATGAACCAACGTGGCCGCTTTTCGCATGGTTTTGTAAGTGCCGACCTTCTGGAAAGAGATCTAGACCTCTCTAGTACAGGATATGTCATCATTTTGATCTTTCGAAAAGGTCGGCGTTGTTTGAATCGCGAAGTTGCGATTACCACCGCTTCCGTTAGAATTGGCTGGAGCACCTTCGGCGGGGTGCTCCAGGATTCGCGGATTTGGTCACGCTCCATCTTGAGCGCGAGGTTCCTTAAACACATCTTAATTAATTACTGTACACGAATATATAAAAAATGCCGTCTAACAATTTCCTCTTCTGATGACTTTTGTAACAAAGAAAATGTCCGCTTGTAGCATCTGACATTTCTTTCTTCCGCATTTACAACAAAGAAAGTCTTTTTTCCACTTGTATTATAGAAGAAAGTTTTCTTATTGCTGTTTTCTTATTGCAATACTTATATAAGCAGCTCCTGTATTCTCGAAAAATATCGCATGCGAAAATATACAAAAATACTCCAGTACACGTCATGTATATTATAGATTTTCCTAATAATTTTGTATGTAAGATTTTTCGAGAATGAAGGCCGCAGCATGCACTCTTGCATAATGCATAGTGCATAAAGGAATCAATCAATCAAAATTCTTCTTTTCCATGGAATGGGAGGAAAGGAAAGATTGTGATTAATTGATTCGTTTATGCACTATGCGTTATACAAAAGTGTGTGCTGCGGCCTTAAGGCGGTGCAATTACTATTGAAGTGGTTTCCAATTGTTTGACATTTCTGACATACTTACATTTCCATTTCTTAACTTCTTTTGAATTTAACTTTGAATTTCTTTAAGTGAGCGCTCAAATATACATGCATGACACGTGTTAATTCTCGGCAAGACCTTTCTTTATGAATAGGTTCGAAAAAGCCGATCAATAGACTTGAAAAATTCGTCCAGCAAAAACGGGCAAATAGGGTGAGGATACATATTATTATTTGTATTGCCCTGATTTTTTTTATTTTTTGTTGATACATATTAAGCCGCGTATATACCTAGCAAACATCGAACGCGAATGTTCGGACATTCGTGTTTGTGTTTGTGAGCAGTTTATTCTTTTTCTTGATTGCACCGAATACTAGCATTCGATCAGATTCGATGTTCGTTGCACATAATTAAATTTGTGCAACTTTTATGTAACAAATAACAACACAAAGTTTTGTATTCGCTGTTCGTTCGGTTTTCTTTCGCTACGTATATGCGCGACTTTAGGCTGAATTTTTATCTGACGAATATCAAGCGTCAATTTTGACCTGTTTTGAACTGAAAATGAGCGTTGTAGCGTCAGGTGAAAAGGTTTTAAGGCCATGGCACACAAAAAAAGCCGTAAGCGAATTGATCAATCACGAGAATCCGTAAAGCCATAACGTAAATAGTAGCTAATCCAACATGTTGATTTTCTTACTGTTTACGTCTTACTGCTTTAAGTTTTTTGTGTGTCATGGTCTTTATTCTAAGGAATGGTAGAAGCACCTTTTTAATTCCTTCGTTGAGCCTCGAGTTCTTTTATTGAAGTATGGACCTCGTGTAATTCTTTTGTCGACCACGTCCTCGCGTTTCAAGCATAGATTTATATTTTATTTCGCGCGGTGTGTTTGTAAACATAATAAAAAAGATTAGTTCGTTCTTGCCTACCAACTCAGCCATGCGTCAACCTTTTACCATAAAGAAAGTAAATAGTCTTTTTCGTTCGCATCTTTATTTCAGAATTTTTTGTTATATGTACATAGTAAAAAACTTTATATTTGTGTTAGAAACGGTCCACTCAAATCGTGTTAAATTTTTAATAAATTTGAATGTAAATTTAATATGTGGTTATATTATTTAAATATTTTGTG